TTGGAATTGTTATCTATATATTTGTTAGTTATCTGTTATCTGAAACGTTTTTGTTTTTTGTTTTTTTTGACGGATTTATATATGTCCACAAGGCTTCTGAGTGGTTTAAACCTACTTAAAACTATGAATATTCCAACTATTTTACATTTGACTATTGCCCATGACAACCATATTGAATTAGCTGAATTATTTCCAGCAGTTGAGGTCACAGTTTCATTATAATTTACATTTTTTAACTGTCTGTTGCACGAACCTGTTCGAATACTGTATTGTTCCAAATCTATATACAAACTTAAAATATTCTATAAAATCAAACTCTGAGGTGAGGCATACCAAACAAGTCCCTTGCGTTGGAATCAAAACCATTAGAGTCAGTAAACACGGATACAATATTTTGCTGAGATATTAAAAAAATGTAAATGTTTTCTTACAACAATTGCTCTAAAAACAGAATTTAAAGGCACAACAAATGGAACGCCTTCACTCAAGGTCTAGAGAATAGAGTATCTTTTATTGCTAATATTGAACAACACCATGCACAGATAGCAACATCAAGGAATTACAATTATATGACAGGGCATTGTCCAAAAATTCCAAAGACAACAAACAAGTCCTCTAAACAGACCAAAAAATTAATGGTTTATTTTAATATGTAGTTCTATCCCTTATCGAAGATAATTTGCTGGATGATCTTCTACAGAATATTGCTACATATCCACCTATACAATACGTCCTTAGCAATAGATTACTTGTGTGCAAGTATTATAATTCGATAAATGAATGTCACATATCTGCAGTTTCCTAGCACTGATTGACACACAAGTTTTCATCATGGAACTCAATTGAATACATTGCATTAACCACATACTATATATACATAGCTTGTCGTGTACATGTCGAAAGGTTTATTCAATCAATATATCTGCTATGTATGTCATATATGCCCATATGTCATGCAGAACTGAGAACTTCAGGCATTCAGTAAGTTGGCAATAGATTACCAGTATACTGATCATAATTGGATCAAAGAACTGTCTTTCTCTAATACCTCCTTAGCAATAAATTACTTGTGTGCAATAAGTATTTTAACTTAACTATCAATTAACTGTCTTTCTTTAGACACTTTTGGAAAGATTAAACAACAATAAAAAAATAATGACAATGGCTGAAACAATCCCATTCATTTATTAATAAAAATACCCATTCATTCAAAATAGGAAGTATCTTAAGAAATAGTATTTTAAACCGGTGATAGCACGCCTGCCGAAGACAAACTTGCCTATTTAAGGCTCTGTTGCAAGTACGAGTATTAAAATTTAAAAAAAACTCACATGACAATTGCTTTTAATACAGGAGGTTTTTAAGTGCTTTTCAAGTGGTTTATTGATGGCACGCAAACCCTCGTGCTCGTCCATTCTTTGGAGTGAACTTGACGAATCGATGATTCTAAACAATACTTCAGCCTTCAAAGTTCATATAAACATCCATATTCGAGATTTAAAGAAGTTATACAGCATATATTTGCAAATAATTGTTAATATTTTCATCAATGAAACTCGTGTTTTGCGAAATCTGTTAATGCCCGCATGCGCGTAACTAAGCCGCTGTCCGCAATGCATTATATCGGGCTCAGCTATCTGATCTATATCGTAAAGATGGAGTGATAGAATAGAACTTTTCGGTGATACGTCACAGCAATTTGACGACACAAAGTTTTAAATTTAGAACCACCTTAAATGGAATGGATTTAAAGTTTTATCCTCACGAGCCATATCGAAAGGTGCAAAACATCCTTCTTCAACACATGCATGAAAAAGATTTTTAGTTTGACCAACGAATTCTGGAAATAAGCCTAACACGAGAACAAGGCGTCCGGGCGTCCCATATAGCAGACGGATGTTTCGCATCTTTCCACATAGATTACCGAAAAGGTCTATTAGGTATCAATTGTACAGGTAGGTATAAAAGTGAATATAAAATCAAAACAAAAAATATTCCTCATGCAAACTTTTATGGGTAAACTGATAAATGGGGTAAGCTCAGTGAGAGAACTCAAATTTGACACAACATGTAGTTTTTGAATACATATATTTATTTAAAATCCCAACAAAATCTGAACAAGTGAATACTGATGATTATAACAGAACAAGAATATTAATTACAACGGAACCCTCTAGTAAATTTTGACTTTTTCATGCTCGATATATTTCTGGATTTTACTTTTTCGACGTACCATGAACAATGTCGAATATATCATCAGAGAGCGTGCGCAACTCGTATGCTTTGCTTGTCGCATTATAAACGATGTCTATAGGAAAAACCAACGCCTTAACCGACTCTTTCCAAGTTCTGCCTGGTTTCAGTCTATACAAATTTGTGGAATCCGGCAAAAGCTCCATGCTAATTAAATGCGCTTGCTGCTTGTTTTGCGTGAATCTCGCGACTTTTGCTATGAAAAAGGAAATGTGATTTTTGGTGGAAACTGGATCAAGCAGTGCTACAATGTCACCGACAGCTGGTAACAATTCGTCCCCGGAATCATTTTGGCAATCGCTTTCGTCAGGCAATGCAATAAAATCCGCTTCACCGAAGATATTTGACGCAATTTTTTCCCTGATAACTTCTCGGCCTTTTTGCGTTTTCTCGTGGTGTGTTAAATCGTTATACGTGCTTTCCTGATATCGGACCGAATGCTTCATTAAAAGCGCAAGACTTTTTCTAACATTTATATCTTTGGAGTCGTCCAAAGTGCTGAAATATGTGATGATAGCATGCCTTAACGCATTAGTGCTCGCTCGAATGGAAACCTCGCGCATGAAAATATCGCCAATGTACCTCGCAATTGAACTGCTGCTATCAAAAGGCGCGCCTCGCTTGTTGAGAAAGAAGAAATCATGCGACTTGCCGAGCAGTAAAGATGGCCTTGCCTTAGTATATAATTGCAAGTAATACACCAGATCTTCGTCATCGGAAACATCGATTCTGGTCGGCCCAATACTTTTTGATGTTTTGAAATCAAATTGCACGATTACAACGCTATTGCCCTCTTGAAATACGATAAAATTACCGCCATCCACCGAAGTGAAATCGAAAGTTCCGCAGTCCGCTTCGATATGCAATTTCATGGTCCTTAATTCTTTCGACCTGCCAGGAATGGCTCTTAAGTAAGTTGCCAAGAGTACAAAATCATGCAAGTGCCTACTTTTTTCCAAGCCATGCGTTTCCAAATACTTATCGCGTATGTTACGAAGAGTTTCTAAAACGTGCGCGAAATAAAACTGCTGAGTTGCCTTGCTCGTAAAACCCTCCTTATGAAGTTTTGATATCATGCTGCTTTCGTGCTGAAAGTGTCGCTGAAATGATTGTAAAGCTGAAATGGTTCGCGATGCATTCTCCGAGTCGGGCGAATTCGGTTGAAAGTTTGCCAAATTAAATTTCAAAACGTTTATACCGATTATAAGATGCGCAACTATAGTTGAGGGTTTAAGATTTCGGGTCCCTTTTAAATATTCTACGTAACTAGTATAGAGTTCGATATTGTTAAATAGATCTAAGGTTAACATGGCAATGTTTTTCACGTTCAAGCAGAAGTACATAAAGCTCATGGCTCTTTCAACCATTTTGTCGACGGTCGTTTTTGAAAACGGCGGCCCAGCACGATGGTGGTTCAATGCTTTTAGGTAGAAATGGCGCAAGTCTTTTACCTCATTCTTCAATCTTTCAGGCGCGCTGTCTAATGCGATGGTATACGTATTTCTTTTCGGCGACGTCGTTTCATCTTTAAATTTCTTTTCTACAGGTGGTTCTTGTTCATCGCTGTCTGACTCGACGCTGAGATTGTAAGACACAATTGGATTGTCTGTGGTCGCGAGGCTCGGACTGGCGACATCAGCAGCGTCGAGAATTGTGGCAGAACTACTGTGAGAAAGTCTGGCTCGCTTTCTCGCACCTTCACTGCGATATGCCATCAAACGGGTCAAGTCTTCATCTCGAATAAGGCTAAACGTAGCACCCAAAGAAGCATTGCGTCGACGAAAGTGAATTCTCTCTTCCAAAGTGGCACAGGGTGTTGTCGAGATGTTTAGGGACTTTAGCCAGTTTCTAACGGTGCTTTTTGGAGTGTCTGTGAAAATCTTTTCGCACACGTCTATGAAGCAGTAATAAGTCTGATTGTCTCGTTTGATGTGAGCTAAAGATTCCATTTTTGTAAAATCCAGACTAAAAATAAAAAAGTTGTCATTAATAACACTGACATATTCTTTTAACCCTAACCCTAACCCTAACCCTAACCCTAACCCTAACCCTAACCCTAACCCTAACCCTAACCCTAACCCTAACCCTAACCCTAACCCTAACCCTAGGGTTATACCAAAAATTTAAAAAGTTCTCGAACAAATCTGAAAAAATTTTCATAATTAATAAAAAACTCTGATTATCCCTAAACATCCCTTTATAACCCTAGCAAACCCTTTCAAACCCTAAAAATTTAAGAAATCAAATTTAGCTATCCCTAACCCTAACCCTTACCATAAAAAAATCCAAAATTTTAAATGCCTCAAAAAAATCTGAAAAAATTTTTAAAATAAAAAGAATATTATATTTATCTTAAAACTACCCTCTATGTCCCTACAAAACCCTTTAAACTTCTAAAATCGTAATTTAAATTTTACCTTAGCTAACCCTAACCCTTACCCTAAAAAAATCCAAAATTTTAATTTGCTCGAACAAATCTGAAAAAATGTTTAAAATTAAGAAAATATTTTTTGTAGCCTAAAACAACCCTTCATGTCCCTAGAAAACCTTTTAAACTCCCAAAAATTTAAAAAGAAAAAAAACCAACCCTATGGCAAACCCTTGACCCCATGGCAAACCCCAACCCTAAGGCTGACCGTTTTTCGCCTCTGAGACCCGTAATTTTCTCTCCTCCTCTCTTCTCTCCTTTTTCCTCTCCCTCCTCCCCCCTCTCCCTTCCTCTCCCCTCTTCCCTCCCCTCTCCCCCTCCTCCTCCCCCCTCTCTTTCCCCCCTTTTCTTCTCTTTTTTTTCTCTTTTTTTCTCCCCTGTTTTTTTCCTTCCTTTTTCCTCCCCCTTTTTTCTCCCCCTTTTTTTCTCCCCTTTTTTTCTCCCTTTTTTCTTCCCCTTTTTTTTCCTCTTTTTTTCCCCCTTTTTTTTCCCTTCTTTTCCTCCCCTTCTTTCTCCCCTTTTTCCTCCTCCCTTTTCCTTCCCTTTCTTTCCCCTCCCTTTTTTTTCCTTCCTCTTTCCTCTCCCTTCCTTTCCCTCCCTTCTCCCCTTCCCTTCCTTCCTCCCTCTCCTTTTCTCTCCCCTCCTTTCCCTCTCCCCCTCCCCCTCTTCCCTTCTCTCTCCTCTTCCCCTTTCCTTTCCTTTTCTCCCTTCCTTTTTCTTTTCTTTCCTTCTCCTTCCCTTTTCCCCCTTCCCTTTTCCTTCCTTTCCCTTTCTCTTCTCTTTTCTTCCTTCCCTCTTCTCTCCTTTCCCTCCCCCTCCCCTTCTCCCCTTCCCTCCTTTTCCTTCCCCTCTCCTTTTGTCTTTTCCCTTCCCTTTTTTCCCCCTCTTTTTTCCCCCCTTCCCCTTTCCCTCTTCTCTTCCCTTCCCCTTCCTCTTCCTTTCCTTTTCCTCTTTCCCTTCTCTCCTTTTTTCCCTCCCTCCTCTTTTCTTTTCCTTTCCCTTCTCCTTTCCTTTCCCCTTCTCTCTCTCCTCTTCTTCCCCCCTTCCCTCTCCTTTTTCTTTCCCCCTCTCCCTCTTCTTTTTCTTCCCCCTCTCCCTCCTCTTTCCTCTTTCCCCTCCCTTTTCTTCTCTTTCCCCTCCCCTTTTCCCTTTCCTCTCTTCCCCCTCTCCCTCTTTCCCCCTCCCTTTTCTTCTCTTTCCCCTCCCCTCTTCCCTTTCCTCTCTTCCCCCTCTCCCTCTTTCCTTTCCCCTTCTCTCCTCTTTCTCTTTCCTTCCCCTCTTTCCCCCTTTCTCCCCCTCTCCCCCCCTCTTTTTTCCCTTTCCTCTTTTTTCCCCTCTTCCCCTTCTTCTTTCCTCTTTTTCTTCTTTCCCTCTCCCTCTCCTCTCCTTCCTTTTTTCCCCCTCCCTCCTCTTCCCTTCCCCTCTCCTTTCCTTTCCCTTCCTTTCTCTTTTCCCTCTCTCTTCTCCTTTCCTTTCCCTTCCTTTCTCTTTTCCCTCTCTCTTCTCCCTTCCTTTCCCTTCCTTTCTCCTTTCCCTCTCTCTTCTCCTTTCCTTTCCCTTCCTTTCTCTTTTCCCTCTCTCTTCTCCTTTCCTTTCTCTTCCTTTCTCTTTTCCCTCTCTCTTCTCCTTTCCTTTCTCTTCCTTTCTCCCTCCTCCCTTCTTTCCCCCTTCCTTTTCCTCCCCTCTCCTTCTCCCCTAACCCTCCCCTCTTTTTCTTCCCCCCCCTTTTTTTTTCTCCCCTCTTTTTTTTCCTCCCCCTTTCTTTTTTCTCCTCCCCTTCTTTTTTTCTCCCCTTTTCTTTTCCCCTCTTTTCTTCCTCTCTCTCTCCCACCCCTTTTTTTTTCTTCCCCTCTTTCCTCCCCCCTTCTTTCTTTTCTTTTTTCCCTTCCCTTCGTTTTTCTTTCTTCTCTTCCCCTCTCTTTCTTCTCTTTTTTTTCTTCCTCCCTTTCTCTCTCCTTTTCTTTCCTCCCCTCTTTCCCCTCTTTTTCTCTCCTTTTCCCCCTTCTTCTCCCCCTTTTTTTCTTTTCCTTTCTTTTTCCTCCTCCTCCCTCCCCCTTTTCTTCCCCCCTTTTTTCTCCCCCTTTTTTCCTCCCCTTTTCTTTCCCTTTTTTTCTTCCCCCTCTTTCTCCCCTTCTTCCTCCTCCCTTTTCCTTCCCTTTCTTTTCCCTCCCTCCCTCCCTTGTTTTTTTCCTTCCTCTCTCCTCTCCCTTCCTTTCCCTTCCCCCCTTCCCTTCCCTCCTCCCTCTCCTTTTCTCTCCCCTCCTCTCCCTCTCCCCTTCCCCCCTTTTCCCTTTTCTCTCCTCTTCCCCTCTCCCTTCCTTCCCCCCTTCCCTCTTCTCCCCTCCCCTTTCCCTTCCCCCCTTCCCTCTTCTCTCTCTTCCCTCCCCCTCCTTTTCTCCCCTTTTCTTCTTCCCTCCTTTTCCTTCCCCTCTCCTTCCTTTTTTTTCCCCTTCCCTCTCCCCTCTTCCTTCCTTCCTTTTCCCCCTCTTTTCTTTTCCCCTTTTCCTCTTCTTTCCCCCTCCCCTTCCTCTTCCTTTCTCTTTCTTCTTTCCCTCCTCTTCTTTTTCCCCTCCCTCCTCTTTCCTTCTCCTTTCCCTCCTCTTTCCTTCCCTTTTTTCCTTCCCTCTTCTTTTCCTTTTCCCCTTCCCTCCTCTTTCCTTTCCCTCCTCTTCCCTTTTTCCCTCTCCCTCCTCTTCCCTTCCCCTTCCCCCTCCTTTTCTCTTTCCCCTCCCCTTCCTCTCCCCTTTTTTTTTCCTCCCCTTTTTTTTTCCTCCCTTTTTTTTCTCTCCTCCTCTTTTTTTTCTCTCCTCCCTTCTTTTTTCCTCCCCCCTTTCTCTTTTTTTCTCCCCCTTCTTTTTTTTCCCCCTTCTTTTTTCTTCTCCTCCCCTCTTCTCTTTCCCCCCCTTTCTCTTCTTTTCCTCTCCCCCCTTTTTCTTTCCTCCCCTTTCTCTTTTTCTCTCTTTCCCTTTTTCTCCTCCCTTTTTTTCTCCTCCTCCCCCCCCTTTTTTTCCCCTCCCCTCTCCTTTCTTTTTTCTCTCCTCTCCCTCCCTTTCCCCTTTTTTCTTCCTCCCTTTCTTCTCCCTCTCTCCTCTTTCTCTTCTTTCCCCCCTCCTTTTTTTCCCTCCCTTCTTTCCTCTTCCCCCCTTCTCTCCCCTCTTCTCCCTTTTCCTTTTCCTTTCCTTCCTCCTTCCTTCTCCCTTCCTTCTCCTTTCCTCTCCTTCTTTTTTCCTCCCCTCTCCTTCTCCTTCCTCTCCCTTCTTCTTCTTTCTCTCCCCCTCTCCTCCTCTCCCCCTTTCCTCCCCTTCTTTCTCCCCCTCTTCTCCTCCCCCTTTTCCTTTCCTCTTCCTTTTTTCCTCCTCTCCTCTCCTTTTCCCCCCTCTTTTCCCTTCCTCTCTTCTCTTTTTCTCCTCTTCTCTCCTTTTCTTTCCTCCCCCCCTTTTCCCTCCTTTTCTCTCTTCCCCTCTGCTTTTTTCCTTCCCTTTTCCTTTCCTTTCCTTTCCTCCCCTCCCCTTTTTTCTCTCTCTCTTTTTCTTCTCCCTTTTCTTTTCCCCCCTTCCTTCTCTCCTCTTTTTGCTCCCTTTCTCCCCTTTTTTCTTCTTCCCCTTCCCTTTTTTTCCCCCTCTTTTTTTTCTTCCCTTCCTTTCCTCCCCCTTTTCTTCTCCTTCTCTCTCTTCCTCCCTTCCCTTTCTTTCTCCTCCTTCCTCCCCTCTTTCCTCTCTCCCCTCCCCTTTCTCTCTCCCTTCTTCCTCCCCCTCTCCCTCCCTTCCCTTCCTTCCCCCTTCTTCCCTCTCCTCTCCTCTCCTCTTCTTTCTTCCCCTCTTTCTCCTCCTCTTCCTTCTCCTCCTTCTTCTTCCTCTCTTCTCCTTCCCTCCCTCTTCCCTCCTTCCCCTCCCTTTTCTTCCTTCTCTGTCCTGTCTTCCTTCCTCTCCCCTTTCCTCCCTTCCTCAATTTCCCTCCAACATTTTTCCAACCTTTCCCCTCAATTTTACCAATATTTTTCCCCACTTTTTCCAAAACTTTTCACACTTTCTTCCAATATCTTCCCAATCTTTACACCACTCTTTTCCCACTATTTCCCCAACTTTTCCCCAACTTTTTTCCAACTTTTTTCCAACATTTTTCCAACATTTTCCTAACATTTTCCCACCATTTTCCCAACATTTTCCCAACATTTTCCCAACATTTTCCAAAACTTTTCACACTTTCTTCCAATATCTTCCCAACATTTTCCCAACATTTTCCCAACATTTTCCCAACATTTTCCCAACATTTTCCCATCATTTTCCCAACATTTTCCTAACATTTTCTTAACAATTTCCCAACATTTTCCCAACATCTCCTCCACATTTCCCCACATCTCCCTAACATCTCCCCAACATCTCCATAACATTTCCCCAACATCTCCCCAACATTTTTCCAACATTTTCCCAACATTTTTTTTTTCCCAACATGCTTTTGTTATATAAATAATTGACATCATAACCAAAGCGTGGTCACCCATCTCAAACTCAAAAACTTGTCAAAATTGACCAAAATTGTAAGGGGTAAGCCTTACAAAATTGACCAAAATTGTAAGGGGTAAGCCTTACCATTTTACTCAAAATTGACGACGACCTTTTCATAGTTCCAAAAAGCAACCAAATATGCTCTAAAATGAAAGCTATTAGTCTTACGAAGCCGTTTTTTTTTTTAGCGGTTTAAGACAGTTTTTGAACAGTTGAAAAATTCGTCAAAATAGACTTACTCCTTTTTTGTTGGGTTTCAACGGAGAATTTGGTGTTCTCGTGTTTATTTTGGTAGTGGTTCGAATGCTGGACAAATTTTTTTCAAAAGCCTCTTAAAAAGAAAGATTTAAGTAAGATAAAAAACACCACTTAGTATCGAAAGACGCGAATAGTCGCAGGGTAACGACAATGGTGTAGCAACTTGTAAGTTGGTGGTGGTTCGATTTTTGCATCGGGAAAAAAATGTTTTCGTCACGACCTGAAAGAAAAGATTATTTTCTATTGGGTTTCGAGGGAGAATTTCGTGTAACTGTTGGAAAGTTTCGGTAATTAGCTGCTTGAAAAAAAGGGCTTAATTATGTCCAAGGCTTGATGAAAAATTAATTCAAAGTTCACAAGTATACATACGATGTAACCACCTGGATGTTTTGTAGGTCCGCGTAATTTACTACATCTGCGACTTGTACGTACTCGTTATGGACGTTCCGGTACGTTCGCTATATATACACTATCCGCCAAAACGAAATTTTCCATTTTTCACTTTGCTTTTTTTTTAACAAATCTAAATGCTATTGCAAATGCCAAATGATCAAACGCAAATAGAATAGCAAAAAACGCCACGCAGTCCCAGTGAACTAATATGGTCATGGTTAAGATTTCAGTGCCCATGTGGAACATTCCCACAATCAACACACTGAGCTATTTCACATATATACTAGACATTTTTAATGAGATGTTGTGGCGTTGTGTGCTCTTCTCTTCTGAGGGTTTTCGGTTGTCATCTTTCCTTTCTTGACCCTTCTTTTTTGTGGTCACTTCTGGCAGACCGTCATGAAATTTTGGGCTCTGCGATTTCAAAAAATATCAGACAAAATTCTTGTGATTTCGCTGAACATTTGATACAACTAGTAGAAAATGATGTAGAAAATATTACCGATGTTTCTACAATCGAAAATTACGATCCAGTTACGACGAATGTAGAAAGTCTAGATCAAATGAACGTTGAGAGTCATGAACAAACTTCGGCGGTCAACATGGGACAGCGAGGCATATAGTCGATTTAGAGCAAGGTGTTGTTAAGAAAAGAAGGAGAAAATGTGGTAGCTGCGATTCGTGCCTGAGGAAAATAAATTGTGGCGAGTGTAATTGTTGTTTGAATAAAAAGACAAGTCATCAGATATGTAAGCTTCGAAAATGCTCTAAGCTCAAAATAAAATCAAGCTGTATGGAGAACGAGTCGGCTACCGTCGCCTTTCAACACCCCGCACAGCAAGCAATTCTAATAGATAGTTCAAATATCGAGAAATTAGGACATGCGAAAATAAATCCTGAGAAAGCAAAGGGGAAACTGCAGTAACGCCTCTGCAACGGTAAAGCTGCAAAAATTTGCATGGACACGGAGAATGCGCTTTACAAATCCCCTCTGGGACTGATGGAATCGGAACAAAGCCATACAACGGAAATTAGCACAGAGCACAATAATGTTCGCATTCCAAATCGTTCCCTGTGACACCACTGGAACCAAAATATAATGACACAGGAAATGCAAATAATAAGCCAAATCTACCTGAATTGGATGTTATGGCGTCTGAAATCAAAGAAAAAATGTGGGGTTCTATTAGTCAACAAAGTTTATGCGATCAGATTAGTAAAATCTTTGACGAAATCGTCCATTTTAGAAGGAACATTTTTTAATATACCCTCCGGCAGATCGGGAAAAGATTTCATTGCAGAGTTGACTTATTGGCTAAAGCAATTCAATTCCAATTCTGATCTCAATTCGATTGCATTGAAAGCCTTTATGGTGCTTTCCATCTTTGATTCTCCAAAAGCCCTCGGCAACATCAAAGAGCAAAAGAACACAGCACGGCGATAAAACGAAGATTAACCCTATGGAAGCAAGGGGACTTGAATCTACTAATGAAAGAAGTGAGATTTATACAAGATCGATTCTTATCATCAAGAGAACCCCGCACAGTAAATGATATCTCCAGAGTTTCCGCCAGATTGCTAATGCAAGGAAAACTATCCGCGGCGATTAAATTTCTGGATAAAGAAAGCTCCCCGGGTTTACTATATCTTTCGCCGGAAACTTTCGAAGCTTTGAAAGAGAAACACCCGGCAGCCAGTGATGTAGAGGACGAATGCCTCCTAAATGGTCCCGTAGATCGAATCGCGTCCAATATTTTCGACCTCATCAATGAGCAGATGATTTATGACGCAGCTAAGGGCTCAGCTGGACCGTCTGTATGGACGCAGACATATACCGACGAATTTTATGCTCAAAGAATTTCAGTAACGAAGGTAAGATCTTAAGAGAGAGAAATATCAACGATGACCAAAAATCTGTTGAAATTATGCCTACCATCCATCCCTGTTAAAAAGCTACACATCCTGTAGGCTAATTCCACTAGATAAACATCCTGGAATTCGACCAATTGGAGTGGGGGAAGTGCTGCGAAGAATAATCGGTAAGACAGTAACTTTATTCTTGAGAGCATAGATAAGGGAAGCAGCGGGGCCATTGCAAGTTTGTGCAGGATACAGTGCTGGGGCCGAGGCAGCAATACATGCCATGAACCATGTTTTTGAGGAAGAAGGGACTGATGGAATCCTATTAATTGATGCGACCAATGCTTTTAACCAAATGAATACAGCGGTAACATTGCACAATCTTTGAATAACCTGCAACAGAATGTCCATATACATCATTAACACCTACAGATGCCCCTCCAGGCTATTCATATGTGGGGGAGGTGAGATTTTGTCGCAAGAAGGTACCACCCAAGGGGATCCTCTAGCTATGTCCTGGTACTCAATTAACACAGCTATAATGATTCAAACTTTGAAATTGAACATACCAGAAATCAAACAAATATGGCTGGTTGATGACTCAGCGGAGGAGGAAGATTGGCACATTTTATAATTGGTATAAGCATTTGGAAGAGCAAGGAAAGAAATACGGCGATCTAGTAAATGGTCCAAAGTGTTGGCTGATAGTGAAGACGCAAGAACTGGCCAAACAAGCAGAGCAGATCTCTGGAGAAGAAGTTAAAATTACAACAGAAGGAAAACGCTATTTGGGTGCTGTTATAGGATCAAAAGAATATATAGATGAGTATTGTAAAGAAAAAATTCAAGGATGGGTACAAGATATCTCATCACTGACGGAAATCGAAAAGCCAGCCTCATGCAGCCTACATTGCCCTTACGAAAGCATACAAATCAAAATTTACCTACTTCATGCGAACAATTGAGGCCTTCGAAGAGTACGTAGAATCGATACATGAAACATTGAATGACATTCTCTTACCACAATTTTTTGGTCAAGAAGAACCCCTTGCGAGTGAACTTCGTGAACTTGTGACCCTAACGTTAGCTCAAGGGGGATTAGGCGTACCGAATTTGAGAATAGAAGCTCCTTTGCAATATGCAGCCTCAAAATTATTTACTAATCAACATGTAAATTCAATTAAACGGCAGAATGAGGCTCTGGAACCGATAGAGCAGTCTATAGATGATCTGAAGCGAATGCAGCAAGCAAACAAAGCGGAAATTATTCAGTCAAGAATGGATAACATTGATGCAACACTTTCTCCAGACCTACTGTTCTTGGTAAAGCAATCCCAAGACAAAGGAGCGAGTTCCTGGCTAAATGCGATTCCACTCAAAGATCAAGGTCTAGCCCTCAATCAGCAAGAATTCAGAGACTCGTTACAAATGAGATACAATTTAACTTTGAACGATTTACCAAGTCATTGTGCGTGTGGAGATCGCTTTAACATCAATCATGCCCTTTCTTGTAAAAAAGGTGGGTTCGTGGCACAAAGGCACGATGGAATCCGTAATTTGCTAACAGCGCAACTGGATAAAGTGTGTAAGAATGTGGAAATTGAGCCTCATCTTCAACCCCTTGATAATAAGAGATTTGACTTGAGATCGGCCAATATAAGTCCCGAAGCGAGATTGGACATCAAGGCGGACGGTTTCTGGCTACGTGGAGCTACTGCATTTTTTGACGTAAGAGTAACGCATGTAAACTCCCGATGTAACCAAGGCCGGCCAACCCAGAACATTTTTAAGGAAAACGAAAAGAAGAGAAAATACCAACAGAGAGTTTTAGATGTTGAAATGGGCTCCTTTACCCCACTTGTTTTCGGAACCAATGGCGGAATGGGGTCTGAATGCCACAAGTTTCTTACTCAGCTGGCGCAGAAATTAGCAGAAAGAGACCATGAACGTTATGCAGTTGTCATAGCTTGGTTGAGAACCAGAATCTCTTTCGAAATTCTAAGATCGGTACATGCGAGTGTAAGGGGATCTAGATCACCTTTCTATAGAAAAGAACTTGAAGTGGTAGACGATTTTGGACTAAATGTTATGATTGCAGAGGTTTTTTAAAGAATCTTATACTTTAACTTTACGTGCGAAGTACTCCTTTTCTATAAAAATTAGGAAGAACAACAATCATTATGACTTTCGAAGAGTTTAAACAGCCCATTGGAAAATGCATGGTGATTAGAATAGTTAATTTTGATCTAGTTTTATTTAGAATTCTTTTAAATATGTATATAGTTAATTTGTATAAATAGAATGATGTGACTGTCTTCTCTCTGCTACTGCCTACGGCGGTATCGTTGGAGATCCTTCGGGATTTTTAAAAACTCTCCTCTCTTCTACCTCAATTGGGGCGCGGCGGGGGTTTGTTTTTCTCCCCAAAGCGCCCCCGGGTTGTGGTAGCAACCTCTTTTGTCTTCCTTTTTATTTTACGATCAGTCTAATCAATATATGCAAATGAAGTTTACTTAATCGTATCTATGACATAATAATTTATGCTGAACCTAACACATGCTCAGTTCACGATGAGCTTCTCTCTCGATCTATTCAATATGGTGGTCAATCAAGAAATGTTTTTGCTTGCAAAAAGATCGTAAAATGTTGGCGCTACAAGCTCGGAAAAGGTATTGAAAATATTCCCGTCTCCTTGCTTTATTCTTTAAGTGCAATCTTAAGCGATATAAAGCTTATTCGAATTCGAATAAGTGGAATTTAACATGTGGAAGGATAACAGCTGATTGCTTTTACTCATAATTGATGGTTTACTGTGATGACTACCAGCTAGTAATGGACAAATATTGCGTGGAAATATGTGAACTATTAACCCACCTTCTGCATGTTCGCCTTTTATCATCTCATTACTTATAACTTTTACAAATGAGTAAAACTTTTCAACTTTTGATATCTTATAGATTGTAAATGAGATCAGGCTTTTATCAGCTCACAGAATAACAAGGTATATTTATTAATTTTAAATTGTGCATCAAAAATTGTCTGCCTAGAACTGAACGAGTGTTGCTAAAGATGTATGGTGTTTATTAACTGCAGTTGGTATATGTTGCATTTTTAGAAGGAAGCATCCAAACAAATTCATTTGTAACATGGTGGATAACAAAGTCCCTCCTTGAAAACCTACTTCAGTCATTTGACGGTGAGTTTCTTACATAAATATAATCAAATATGATTTTCGTTGGGCTTTCCTTTTCCTTTGTATTATTCCAAATGAGCTTGATAGGTTATTGAATATTGAGTAACTTGTGTCATAGTATTACAGCATTTTACGGACTCGATTTGATTGCACTCATAAATGATGCAATGAACGGTCTCTATCCTATAAACGTTTGAAACTACTCTCTTCAACATATGTTTGCATTAGGCATCTATGTCTAATAAATGCCTCTTCCAAATCAAAACACCAGGGGCCGGTTGTTCGAAAGGCGTTTAGCTTAAACGGTGGATAACCCAAGTTTAAAAGTACTCTAACAGATCTTGTGAATGAATGTACCTGCATCTTACGCATTAAATATGTACTTCCATTGACAATTAAACTATTTACATGGAAATATTTCAGCTCAGTTGTTCAATAAATAGATGATTTTGTTTTCCATTTTGAACTTAATCGTCCCAGTAATGTTTAATGTCCCTAGTGTGGTTGTGTGTTTCAGAGTGTCATGGTTATAATGTTCAATTTTAATTTGTAATTTAATTTTTTTGTTTTGGAAACATTCACAAACAGTTTGCACAAACTTTGACAATGAGGAAATTTTTGCAATAGGCATATGCCCTAAATTGCGACTTTGAAACACATGGGAGACTTTTTAAGTTTGCATGCACAAACTGCATTAACTAACACTTGATGCTGTATGTATTAGAATGGCATCACAAATTATTGATATTTAGTCTTAGTGGTATTTTCACTTCTTCAAAATAAGGTGGTGCTAATGATATAAATGCCTCTCTCTATTAAATGCTCTCTCTAGAATTGGCAGATTTTATTAAGGTGGTGTTGGTCATTGAAAATGTAGATTTACCCTGTTTTAAAAATTTAAGGAGACGATTAGCTTGTTTCATTGTTCTGTATAATTAATGAACTTTTTTAGTTTTTCTTAGTAAACTAAAATTGTCATTCCTTTTACTTTCGTGCACGATAATTCGAAAAATAATAAAGGTAACTTGATAAAATTCTCATGGTTTATTCTAAAGACAATTGGCTGGGACGTGAACCATTCAGTCTACGTAAAATAGGGACTGTTTATTTTAGATAGATCATAGAAGTTTTAAATATATAGCCTGTAAAATGTTTTGGAAAGTTTTATTTATTTGAGGTTCAGCTTGGAGGCAAAAATATTTAGAACTAAATAAAACTAATGCTGTCATTCTAGCGTTAAAACCTAGTTTGTTATCTTGTTTGCAAAATCGTCTATTTCCCACCATTGGGTGTGTTTGTTCTGGGTAACTATAGCAATTGAAATTTTCTACAAGTTTTTTACTTAGAGCACTTGACTTGCAATATGTCATGAAAAGATTTTATATTTTTAAAAATAAAAATGAAAAAAAATTAATGACCTAGACTTAAAAGCCCCAGATGTTTATTGGATCATGTACAATATGTTAGTGCTTCAGTTGATCTCTGTACTCTTTTGTCTCTGTGTATCTGATATCTGTACTGTATCTTTATTGGTATTATATGATGAAAATGGGAGCTCTGATGGTTATCAAATTGTGGGAAATTCCAAATTGATTTTGTGGGCCATCCTTCCAGGTTTGCCAAAAAGCCTGAGTAATTGATTGCACTGGGAGTCTTAGCAATAAAAAGTGCTGACTGAGGAATTTTGTGCAAAGAGCAAGGATTTATGAATTTACAAACATGAATTTTGAACTTGTTCTCATAGGTTTAGAGTTTTGTTTTCTTCTGGGGGGCTTAAACTTTAGATACATGATATCTAGCTAGCAACACTTTCTGACATTAGATAAAATTAAATAGAATAAATTTCCTCTTGATATATAGTTGCATCGGTAGTCATGGTTCATATGGCCGATAGGTGGAGAAAATATTTACCAATGATTATGACCTGTTATGGGTAGAAAAGCTAATGAAAGATAAAATGAACAAGCTGCCATGTATTTTATGATTTTACAAGCTGCCATGTATTTTATGATTTACAGCTCGAAAATTCTGTATTTCGCAATTGCTTTTCCGAGTTGCTCGATATATATAATATTAACTATAATAATACCGTTTCATGTGTATAAAGATCTTTTTTGAAAGATTCAACATTGCTCTGATGCAATTATTACTTTCTGGCAAATTTTTAGGGGGGCTGAGGCCCCCCAGTAAGATTTCTTGGGGGGCCGAGCCCCTAAGCCCCCATACTCTATGCCTATGCTTGTTCTCATGATTATTTACATGGAGAAAGAATGAAATAAATCATTATCACAATCAATTTTAAATACAATAACTAATTACCTGAAAAATATTGAATGTATTGAAAATATTGATCGTTTTAGAATTTAGACATGCAGTATCAATAATATAAAATTGTACGGTAAATTGTGCACAAATCAGGGGGGGCATTCGGCACGCCCAGTACGCGGAAAACCTGGGAACGAGGATAGATTTCGGAGAAGAAAGGCGAAGGAAGGAAAGCCCGGAAATTTTTTAATTTTCTATGTTTTAAAAAGAAACTATAAAGTTATTTTAATGAAGTGAAGCTTGTTGAGAAAACGTTATTCCGATTATAAGTATATCTAGATATATATCTCATAAGCGTATGTTTTTTGTTTCCTGCCTTTTTTAATATGACTTCGTCCTCGCGCATCGAATGTTGGAATTTTCTGAATATTTTTTCGGTCGATTTCTTTCGCATTAGTTCAACGTTTTAGAGTAAGAATGTTTGTTATGCCCAAGCATTTATTTCACGTAAATGACGTTCATTTGTTCTGCTTTGTTAGATTAAAAGTCCAGCGAGAAATGAAGTGAAAGGCGATTTGAAAACCACGAGGTAAGGAAGTAAGCCGCCATTTTATTAAATTTTCGTACTTTTTTTAATAGTGTGTTGTTTTTGTTTTATTTTAACATTCTATGCCCCAACCGAACACTTCAGTAAGGGGCAGTAGTTTTAAGAAAGATTTGTGGTTTTAATTTATTTTTAAAAAATCCGCCTTCAGTCGAGAGGCGAGAGGAATGGCGAATCATTCAGACCATGTATTCGGTGTTTGACATAATTGTGGGACATGTGTTGCCAAATTGTTTGTATTTTGAAACATTCGATTAAGTGCTGAGAAAAGAAATGGAAAACTACTTCTTTAAACCCGTTTTTGTTTTTGCCAAGGCAGGTTGATGCATGTAGTTTGATATATGGGAGGGGTCAGCACCATTTAGTAGCCTTAGAATGAGGGGAAGTAGAATTGTTTAAACGTTGATTCAATGTTGTTTTATCAGAGTCTGATGTTAATATTTTGTGTTTCAGATTGTTTTTGCCAATGTTTTGATCTGAAGGTTTAAAGAACCACTTTTACAATATTGGAGATATGTAGTGGAATAAATGCCTGGAAAGACAATTATTGTCTGACAATATAAACTATAAATTGAAACCGGAATGCAATGATAAGAAAGGGAAATATGGAATAAATGCCTGGAAATACAATATAAACTATAATTTTAAACTGGAATGCAATGATAAGAAAGGGAAATAAACTATTGCTAAGTCTAAAGAACCACTGAAGCTGAAGAATTGAGATACAACAATCTTTGACTGACTTTAGGTGTAAGACGTTCGCCCAGCTATTGTAGACCGCATGGAATCGATTCAAGTCCTTTAAAAATTTGTGAATCAAGATGAGAATGAACTTAGTAATCTGTAATTGCTGCTATATGTTTTGGCTAAAATATAAAAAAACTGTTGTATGTCTCAAAACAAAGGAGCTGATATGATACCAAAAAGTACAGGATTGTTTGACATCAGAAATACAAAGAATTCGGCACACAGAGACAATTCACCTTTTAAAACGAAACCAAAAAACTAGAAGCAAAAAACAAATTGTGCTTCAAAACAAAACTAGAATGCACTGCTTTTAAAAGGTTGAAATATAGGAAAGGACAACTTTTTTCTAGGCGTTTAGTGATTCGTTTATAGTAACATCGCTCACGATGATGTTCGGAGTTGATCGGCATGTTGTCGTACATTATCATACCACGTGATCTGCTAAGATCACATGGTAATTATTGCCTATGAAACTAATCTCAACGTTAAAAAAAATTTCTTTAGATTGGTGGCGATCGAAGGTGGACAGCAAGATCGAAGCTCAGCAAGATTGAAGATTGTTCGAAGAAGAAGGAGTTCGCCGTTGACTAAAAGGTGGGTTCCGGCGATTATATGCGTAATCTGCGGTTGCTTTGTCCGACCCCAGTAGGGGGACCGTTTGCCTAGAGCGTTTTGGTCCCCCGCACGCTGCTAGTTCCCACTTGTAGGCCTTTACACTAATCTACGGGAAGGCCGTAGGCCTTCCTTAAGGAGTACAGTGTAGCTGAGCCGAACCCTTTTTTTTCGTTTTATAGGTTTATCTGAACAGCTAGTTGTCAAGATGAATGCGAAGACGCCCGGCCAAATTCAAAATGGCGATGCCAAAGAAAACCATCCACCTGGACCGTTCGCAGACCTTTCTGGGCAAGATTGTTGTGCTGTCTGGTCAAAGTTAAGTATTTTACTTTGATGTTTGTGTGCCTTCGGCTAATTGTTGGCCAGAAATGACAAAAAGCCATATACAATATGAAATATTCTGCGTACAAGGTTATCTAAAATTTCGAACTTAATTCTGCCTGCAATGATGATAATCTTTTACTGAAAATTTATGTCATGAGCAACTTCCGCACCTATAGACTGAAGCAGAACTGAACATTTTGTCATTAACGTTTATCTCAACAGCCAGTTATCAAGACGAACGTCAAGAGAACAGTTGAAATAGAAAATAGAAATCAGTTCAAGACTCGCCGCCGCCGAATTCAAATGGCGATCCCATACACGTGGACCGTTCGCGGACCTTTCTGAGCAAGATTGTTGTGCTGTCTGGTCAAAGTTAAGTATTTTACTTTGATGTTTGTGTGCCTTCTGCTAATTGTCGGTCAGAAATAACAAAAAACCATATACAATATGAAATATTCTGCGTACAAGGTTATCTAAAGTTTCGAGATTAATTTTGCCTGCAATGATGATAATTTTTTACTGAAAATTTATGTCTTGAGCAATTTTCGTACCCATAGACTGAAGCAGAACTGAAGATTTTGTCATTAACGTTTATCTCAACAGCTAGTTATCAAGACGAACGTCAAGAGAACAGTTGAAATAGAAATCAGTTCAAGACTCGCCCGGCCGAATTCAAAATGGCGATGCCGAAGAAAACTATACACGTGGACCGTTCGCGGACCTTTCTGAGCAAGATTGTTGTGCTTTCTGGTCAAAGTTAAGTATTTTACTTTGATATTTGTGTGCCTTCTGCTAATTGTCGGTCAGAAATAACAAAAAACCATATACAATATGAAATATTCTGCGTACAAGGTTATCTAAAGTTTCGAGATTAATTTTGCCTGCAATGATGATAATTTTTTACTGAAAATTATGTCTTGAGCAATTTTCGTACCCATAGACTGAAGCAGAACTGAAGATTTTGTCATTAACGTTTATCTCAACAGCTAGTTATCAAGACGAACGTCAAGAGAACAGTTGAAATAGAAATCAGTTCAAGACTCGCCCGGCCGAATTCAAAATGGCGATGCCGAAGAAAACTATACACGTGGACCGTTCGCGGACCTTTCTGAGCAAGATTGTTGTGCTTTCTGGTCAAAGTTAAGTATTTTACTTTACTGTTTGTGTGCCTTCTGCTAAAACTAGAAAATAATTAAGGTAGTTATAAATCCAATTTTATATTAATAATGTCTTATTATATTAAAGATTTTCCTTGGTCAACATTGGAAGTGAACAAGATTTCTGCACAGAGGTAATTCGATTGTTTCTTCTAAATTTATATTAGCCTTGCAGCTCAAATTCTTGTCACTACCTTGTAAAACATATCAACTGCCTGGGTATGTATTTTGTTATTTCAATAGTATAAGAGGGAATTTGCTGCAACTAGGATCTTTTTCATGAAAATCGTCAGTGCGGTCACAATTTGGTTAACATTACTAAGTGAACTTTGCATCTATACTCACTATGTGTCACCAGTAATAAATTCCTGTGGTGGTCTTGAAGTAAATATAGCAACCATGGTTATTTATAGAAGGATGAAGTAACCATAGATTACCTGACCAAAAACTAGACAGTAATTAAGATAGTTGAAAATGGAATTTTATATTAATAATGTCTTTTTATATTCAAGATTTTTCTTGGTCAAGAGTGCAACATTAACTGTGGATATAAACTTTACGTTCAAATGAACATTGGAAGTGAACAACATTTCTGCACAGAGGTAATTCGATTGTTCCTTCAAAATTTATATTAGCCTTGCAGCTGAAATTCTTGTAGTGATTTTGTAATACATATCAACTGCCCGGATATATATTTTGTTATTTATTATAAGAGGGAATTTGCTGCAACTAGGATCTTTTTCATGAAACTCGTCAGGCAGTCACAATTTTGTTAAGATTATAAAGTGAACTTTGCTTCTATACTCACTATGTGTCACCAGTAATAAATTCCTGTGGTGGTCTTGAAGTAAATATAGCAACCATAGTTATTTATAGAAGGATGAAGTAACCATAGATTACCTGACCAAAAACTAGACAGTAATTAAGATAGATGAAAATGGAATTTTATATTAATAATGTCTTTTTATATTCAAGATTTTTCTTGGTCAAGAGTGCAACATTAACTGTGGATATAAACTTTACGTTCAAATGAACATTGGAAGTGAACAACATTTCTGCACAGAGGTAATTCGATTGTTCCTTCAAAATTTATATTAGCCTTGCAGCTGAAATTCTTGTAGTGATTTTGTAATACATATCAACTGCCCGGATATATATTTTGTTATTTATTATAAGAGGGAATTTGCTGCAACTAGGATCTTTTTCATGAAACTCGTCAGGCAGTCACAATTTTGTTAAGATTATAAAGTGAACTTTGCTTCTATACTCACTATGTGTCACCAGTAATAAATTCCTGTGCTGGTCTTTGAATAAATATAGCAACCATAGATATATATAGAGGGATGAAGTAACCATAGAATACCTGACGAAAAACTAGACAATAATTAAGATAGTTGAAAATGGAATTTTGTCTTAATAATAACTTCTTTATATATTCAAGATTTTCCTTGATCAAGAGTGCAACCAGCCACATTAGCTGCTGTGGATATGGACTTTACTGTCAGAGGAAAATTGGAAGTGAACAAGATTTGTGCAGAGGTAATTTGATTGTTCCTTCAAAATTTATATTAGCCTTGCAGCTGAAATTCTTGTAGTGACCTTGTAATATATATCAACCGAGCAGATATATATTTTGTTATTTAGTATAAGGGGGAATTTGCTGCAACTAGGATCTTCATGAAAATCGTCAGGCAGTCACAATTTTGTTAAGATTATAAAGTGAACTTTGCTTCTATACTCACTATGTGTCACCAGTAATAAATTCCTGTGCTGGTCTTTGAATAAATATAGCAACTAAGTTATATATAGAGGGATGAAGTAACCATAGAATACCTGACGAAAAACTAGACAATAATTAAGATAGTTGAAAATGGAATTTTGTCTTAATAATAACTTCTTTATATATTCAAGAATTTCCTTGATCAAGAGTGCAACCAGCCACATTAGCTGCTGTGGATATGGACTTTACTGTCAGAGGAAAATTGGAAGTGAACAAGATTTTTGCAGAGGTAATTTGATTGTTCCTTCAAAATTTATATTAGCCTTGCAGCTGAAATTCTTGTAGTGACTTGTAATATATATCAACCGCAGATATATATTTTGTTATTTAGTATATAAGGGGGAATTTGCTGCAACTAGGATCTTCATGAAAATCGTCAGGCAGTCACAATTTTGTTAAGATTATAAAGTGAACTTTGCTTCTATACTCACTATGTGTCACCAGTAATAAATTCCTGTGCTGGTCTTTGAATAAATATAGCAACCATAGTTATATATAGAGGGATGAAGTAACCATAGAATACCTGACGAAAAACTAGACAATAATTAAGATAGTTGAAAATGGAATTTTGTCTTAATAATAACTTCTTTATATATTCAAGAATTTCCTTGATCAAGAGTGCAACCAGCCACATTAGCTGCTGTGGATATGGACTTTACTGTCAGAGGAAAATTGGAAGTGAACAAGATTTTTGCAGAGGTAATTTGATTGTTCCTTCAAAATTTATATTAGCCTTGCAGCTGAAATTCTTGTAGTGACTTTGTAATACATATCAACTGCCCGATATATATTTTGTTATTTAGTATAAGGGGGAATTTGCTGCAACTAGGATCTTCATGAAAATCGTCAGGCAGTCACAATTTTGTTAAGATTATAAAGTGAACTTTGCTTCTATACTCACTATGTGTCACCAGTAATAAATTCCTGTGCTGGTCTTTGAATAAATATAGCAACCATAGTTATATAGAGGGATGAAGTAACCATAGAATACCTGACGAAAAACTAGACAATAATTAAGATAGTTGAAAATGGAATTTTGTCTTAATAATAACTTCTTATATATTCAAGATTTTCCTTGATCAAGAGTGCAACCAGCCACATTAGCTGCTGTGGATATGGACTTTACTGTCAGAGGAAAATTGAAGTGAACAAGATTTTTGCAGAGGTAATTTGATTGTTCCTTCAAAATTTATACTAGCCTTGCAGCTGAAATTCTTGTAGTGACTTTGTAATACATATCAACTGCCCGGATATATATTTTGTTATTTATTATAAGGGGGAATTTGCTGCAACTAGGATCTTCATGAAATCGTCAGGCAGTCACAATTTTGTTAAGATTGCTAAGTGAACTTTGCTTCTATGCTCCCTATGTGGTCACCAATGATAAATTCCTGTGGTGGGCTTTGAATAGATATAGCATATTTATATAGAGCGATGAAGTAACCATAGAATGCCCGTGACCAAAAACTAGACAATAATTAAGATAGTTGAAAATGCAATTTTATATAATCATGTGTTCTTGTAATATTCAAGATTTTCCTGGTCAAGAGTGCAACATGAGTCGTGGATATGAACTTTACTGTCAGATGTACATTGATTGGAAAGTGAACAAGATATCTGCACTGAGGTAATTTGATTTTGTCATGGATGGCCAGCATTTGATTTTAAAAAGCCACTACATTGTTGAGATGACAACAATCAAATTGAAATTTGCTTCTATGGTCACCATGTGTGAAACCAATGATGAAACTTAATGCTATAACAGCTGAACAAGTCTGGCTGATTACTATAATTCCTGTGGTGGTTTTACAATAAATATCCATGAAAAAGACCAGCAATTACTATTTTAAACTTGGGAGAAATTTTTCTGATTTCCATGTGATTTATTTTAGTACTCAGAAGGGTGGTACCCAGTTTTTCTGTGTTCAAATTAAATAGTGACATATTCTGGGTTGAATATATGCATGGTGACACATTCTTTTTATTGAAAATAGCTAAAATATAATTGGCATAAAACAAAATGCATTCACGAATGTATTGTCTATCCATGAAAGATGGCTAAAGTAAGATAATGAGTAATATCTTTTGATAATGATGTCAGCTTTGAAAATACAACTTTTTGCCTAAAAGGATTGATGAAATGCTTTTTCTCTTTAGAATGAATGAAGTTGAAGAAAGTTGAAAGGCACCCCAGAAGAACCTGAATTATTTTAGCCCTATCCTAGATTCATTGAATATTTTAGTGTGTGATAACATGTGTGAAATGTTATCAATTATGTGACAATTTTCAAAACTTGGATTTATAAAGATAAATTTTTCTTTGTAAAGTTTAAGAAGTAAACCTTTTTTGTCTGGTGGTGTTTGGTGTTTTGATTTTGCATGTTTTTCCCTGTGCTTTCACAATTGAAAATATTTTAGCAAGTTGCTTTTGGCTTTTTCTCATACTTCTTTTCTCTTTAATTTCTTCTTAGTATTAGTATTTTTTCTAAATATTTTTCTCTAATTATTTTTTTGATGAAATTCTTTTTTTCTTTGGTGTTGAAGAAAGTTGAAAGGCACCCAATTTCATTGATTAATATTTTTTAGTGTGAAATGTGATGAATTATGTGACAATTTTCAAAACTTGGATTTATAAATCTTTTTTCTTTGTAAAGTTTAAGAAATAAACCTTTTTCGTCTGATGGTGTTAGTGTTTTTATTTTGCAAGTTCTTCTGTGTGACTTGACAATTCTAAATTAAGCCTCTTAGTATTTTTTAGTATTTTTCTAAGTTAAACCTATTAGTATTTTTCTAAGTCAAACCTATTAGTATTTTCTTCGATTGCTCTAGTTTTTTTTCCTCTAGTTTTTTCTTCTATTTCTCTATTTTTTCTTTATTTATCTAGTTTTTTTGTATTTTCTCTTGTCTTTTATTCTCTAGTTTTTTTCTGTAGTTTTTCTTGTTAGTTTTTCTTGTTGGATTTCTGTAGTTTTTCTTGTTGGATTTATAAATCTTTTTTCTTTGTAAAGTTTAAGAAATAAACCTTTTTCGTCTGATGGTGTTAGTGTTTTTATTTTCCAAGTTCTTCTGTGTGACTTGACAATTCTAAATTAAGCCTCTTAGTATTTTTTAGTATTTTTCTAAGTTAAACCTATTAGTATTTTTCTAAGTCAAACCTATTAGTATTTTCTTCGATTGCTCTAGTTTTTTTTCCTCTAGTTTTTTCTTCTATTTCTCTATTTTTTCTTTTATTTATCTAGTTTTTTTTGTATTTTCTCTTGTCTTTTATTCTCTAGTTTTTTTCTGTAGTTTTTCTTGTTAGTTTTTCTTGTTGGATTTCTGTAGTTTTTCTTGTTGGATTTATAAATCTTTTTTCTTTGTAAAGTTTAAGAAATAAACCTTTTTCGTCTGATGGTGTTAGTGTTTTTATTTTGCAAGTTCTTCTGTGTGACTTGACAATTCTAAATTAAACCTCTTAGTATTTTTTAGTATTTTTCTAAGTTAAACCTATTAGTATTTTTCTAAGTCAAACCTATTAGTATTTTCTTCGATTGCTCTAGTTTTTTTCCTCTAGTTTTTTCTTCTATTTCTCTATTTTTCTTTTATTTATCTAGTTTTTTTTGTATTTTCTCTTGTCTTTTATTCTCTAGTTTTTTTCTGTAGTTTTTCTTGTTAGTTTTTCTTGTTGGATTTCTGTAGTTTTTCTTGTTGGATTTATAAATCTTTTTTCTTTGTAAAGTTTAAGAAATAAACCTTTTTCGTCTGATGGTGTTAGTGTTTTTATTTTGCAAGTTCTTCTGTGTGACTTGACAATTCTAAATTAAACCTCTTAGTATTTTTTAGTATTTTTCTAAGTTAAACCTATTAGTATTTTCTAAGTCAAACCTATTAGTATTTTCTTCGATTGCTCTAGTTTATTTTCCTCTAGTTTTTTCTTCTATTTCTCTATTTTTTCTTTTATTTATCTAGTTTTTTTTGTATTTTCTCTTGTCTTTTATTCTCTAGTTTTTTTCTGTAGTTTTTCTTGTTAGTTTTTCTTGTTGGATTTCTGTAGTTTTTCTTGTTGGATTTATAAATCTTTTTTCTTTGTAAAGTTTAAGAAATAAACCTTTTTCGTCTGATGGTGTTAGTGTTTTTATTTTGCAAGTTCTTCTGTGTGACTTGACAATTCTAAATTAAACCTCTTAGTATTTTTTAGTATTTTTCTAAGTTAAACCTATTAGTATTTTTCTAAGTCAAACCTATTAGTATTTTCTTCGATTGCTCTAGTTTTTTTCCTCTAGTTTTTTCTTCTATTTCTCTATTTTTCTTTTATTTATCTAGTTTTTTTTGTATTTTCTCTTGTCTTTTATTCTCTAGTTTTTTTCTGTAGTTTTTCTTGTTAGTTTTCTTTTCTCTGGTTTTTTCTTCCATTTCTCTAGTTTTTTTCTATTTTTCTACTTAGTTTTTTTCTCTATTTTTTTCCTAAAGTTTTTTTCTTGTTTTTTTCTCTAGTTTTTCTAGTTAGTTTTCTTTTCTCTGGTTTTTTCTTCTATTTCTCGATTTTTTTTTCTATTTTTCTACTTAGTGTTTTCTCTAGTTTTTTCTTAATGTTTTTCTCTTGTTTGTTTTTCTAGTTAGTCTTTTCTCTGTTTTTTTCTTCTATTTCTCTAGTTTTTTTTTCTCTAGTTTTTTCTTCTATTTTTCTAGTTTTTTTTCTATTTTCTCTTGTCTTTTATTCTCTAGTTTTTTTCTCTAGTTTTTCTATTTAGTTTTCTTTTCTCTGGTTTTTTCTTCTATTTCTCTAGTTTTTTTCTATTTTCTGCTTATTTTTTTCTGTAGTTTCTTCTTAATGTTTTTCTCTAAGTATTTTCTAAATGTTTTTTGAAAAGTTTAAGAAGAAACTTGATTTTTGTCTTGTGGTCTCTTGTTTATTTTCTATTTTTTTCTTTTATATCTCTAGTTTATCTCCGAGATTTTTTTTACCAAAAAGTATTATGTCTTGGGCTACCTGTGTCAAGCCAGACACAGGTAGCCCAAGATTGACAAAGCTAGCCCAAGACAAAATACATCTTCGTAAAAAAAAACTTAGAGAATTTCAAAAAAATGAAAAAAATTAAATTTAAAATCACAACTGAACTGTTAGTGAACTATACAAAAATCAGAACTGAACTAATTATGACGTCATTTCTGGGGGCGGCGCTTATTTCTCT